TTACTTGCTCTTTTGAGTTTTATTTTTCTTTTCTTTTTGGAGCAACACCCGAAATGTCTGGTCGGATAGATGCTTCAGACCAAAAAGAGAATGGAAAAGCTATAGATTCTTGATTTGTGTAGTTGCCCAATTTACTCCATTTATATATGCTCTTTAATATGGTTTAAGACTTAAGACTCGAATTTGTATGACATAATTTCTTTATTAGTCTGTACAAAAATAAGCTTGAAATTTATGGAAGTTTACTTGATTGAAAGTGGTGAAAACGAGCATTCAAGAATTATATTTATAAAAATTATCTAAAATAATCAATTAGATTGAAATTAAATTAAAATATAAATTATTTTTTATTTGCATTAATTCATAATTAAATATACTATGGTAATCAACTCATTTATAATATTAACAACTTTACGGATATTTTTGTCTTTATAACAGAAAAAGTGCTTACCAACACTTGTTTACCAAACACTTCAACAATGTTTTTCAAGTTTCAGTACTTTTATCCAAACAAGTAACTGCTTATTTATAAAATAAATTTCAGTATTTAAAAGCTACTTTTTTCCACCTAATCCAGATGGGCTCTTAGTTTATGCTAATTCTTCATAATTAGATCACGTGAACTTATTCTTCACCATTCATTTATTTTCTTTTTCACTACTTCGAAAGGTCACGTATTAAGTGGCCGTTTGGACATAAAAATTATAAAATTTCGGGGAAAAGTAAAAATATTTTTCAAGCGAAAATAGTATTTTAAAACTAGAGTTGTGTTTGGACATGAATATAGTTTTAGGTTATTTTTGAAGTTTTGTGAGTGATCTGAGCGAAAATTTTAAAAAACAGTTTTTTGGAGTTTTTCAAATTCTTGAAAATTTTCAAAATTCATCTTCAAGTGAAAATTTAAAAATTTATCGCCAAACATTGATTTCGGGAAAATAGTGAAATTTTTTCGAAAAAAGTAAAATTTTTCTTATGTCCAAACGGGCTCTTAGTTTTTATTTCTTCCTCCTTTCTTTTGGCATTCGGACATAAATAGTATTGTTCCCTTCGGTTCAAAAAGATAATATTTTTCAGATTTGGAGAGTCGAATGAATTATTTTTTGACTACGATTTTTTCATATACCTTTTAAATATTTTAAATTATTAATTATAGTAACTTAATAATATTTTTATATGGTTTTAAAATATATAAAATTTTATTTAAAAAAATATAAAGATTTTATGTTCGAATTTATGATTAAAATTGAAAATTTTGAATCTTGAAATTCGAGTAGTATATTTTTTTTGGGACTAAGGGAGGGAATATTATATTTCTTCTACTTCTCCGACACGTATAAAGGTGAAAAGATTCCATAATGTGTACTATATGCCAAAATGTAAGGCTGATATATAACTAGGGTACCATGATTTTCAGCCCTTCAATTTTTTTTGCATGTGACTGAAACAAAAGTGATCCACTTAATAGTTTCATATTCTTACCGACCCACTACACTTTTTATGCTGAAAATAAAAACAGGTTAAATAACAAAATCATAGTTTAAATATACTATTTTATGAACTACTCTTTTTATTTATTTATTTTTTTAATTATTATTTGGGTTAATTAAGTTTCATTTTTAGGAAATAGCCCAATTAGAAAACTTAAGGGTAATATCTAATCACAAATAACAAAGTCATGGTTATAAAGTTCTCTCACAGGATAAAGGGGAAGGGAAAAGCATATAATTTGTCTTTTTTTTTTCCTATCATATACTATATATTGACTTATCTCTATATCTCACTTTGTTTATTACTATTCCTATGTGGAGAGTTAGTAAATTTTTTAAGTATAATTCTTCTAAGATGTTTAACTAAAAAGATTTATGAATTGTACTACTCATTATGTACTTCCTAAAGTATGATAAAAGAAATCAAAATTCAAAAACACCAAAAAATAGATGTACTATATACACCTTTATACTCTAAAAATCTAGAGGCTAAATGAATATAATTTTTTTTATTGACTTGACAATAAAGGAATGAGTTGGAATCTAGATGGTCTAAATTAAGTAACCTTTAATCCTCAGCAAAAAAAAGCTCTGTTGTACTATAATTATTATAAAACCGAAAATGTCAAAAGAAACACAAAATCCAAATAAATAAATAGTTTACCAATTCCATACACTAATCATTGATATAGTTTAATGATATGACCTACAATATTATCATGTTTGCACACTTAGCTGATTTTTTACCTCCCATTTTCGTGTCACCACCTAAC